CTCCGCGCCCGTGTCCTCTGGCGAGAGGGGGGGGCGGGGGTGTTGTGGGGGGCTGTTTGAGCAAGGTGAGGGCACCCTCTGAGCTCCTTTCCTTTCTTTTCAGAACAAGGTCTCCGCTCGTGGGCTGCCCGAGATCAGAAACTGGCAGTTAAAGCAGAAAGCAGAACCAAGGATGGTTCCCGCTGTGGGCAGTTAGAAATGGAGCCCTGCGCAGGCTGCCCCGTCCCCGGAGGCCTCGTGCAGCTAGCTGGCCGCGTCGGCTATCTACAGGATTTCTTCTCCACGGCCCCGGCCTGCCCAGGTTCTGCACTCCGCATCGGGCGGCGCCGGGAGGGATCCGACGGGAGCAACTCAGCTCCATCTGCCTACCTACAGGTTCCCCTGTCTTAATTCCAGCCTCCTTTTTGGGGGGGTGTCTCCCCAAACCTTCTGCCAGTGCTGGGAGGGAGGGCTGCTCGGTCACTGGGTGGAGACAATGTTGCTGGCGGCTGATTGAGTCAGCCTTTGCCCGCTTCAGTGAGGGCCAGGTTGGCATGTAGGGCAAAATCATCAGATAATCTGGAGATCTAATGGTTGGAAGTGATGTTGTGCTCTTTGGCGGCAAGGAGGAACCACCTGGCTGATAAGTATTTGGAATTGGCATCGTAGCTCCCTGAGCAACTGGGAGGGAGCTGCACCCGCACCCTGAGTAGGATAGGGGAACAACCCCCCCCAGTTGCCTTCTGCAGTCATGTGGGGGATCCAGGAACCTCGTTTTCGTGAGGGCCCCTGAAGGCTTTGCCCAAGCAGGCATGTTCATGACCCCTCTGGGAAGGAAAGAGAATGGGAGGAGTGGCTCCTCGGGCCAGGACAGGCACCGCTTCCTTGCTCAGGCACCGCGTCTGCTCTGCTGCCGAGGTCTTCCCAGAAGTGGCTTTATAAGGGCAAAGTTGGGGAGCCTGAACCGGCTGGTGCCTTCCGGCGGCCTCCTCCCTGCCTGGCTCAAATGGCGAAGGACTTGGAGCCTGCCTCTGCTGGGGCCAAAATTCGGGCCTGGCAAAAGCTCACTCAATCTGACTCAGCAAGAGGAGGGAAGAGGTGGCTCCCCAGCCCTGCCCAAAGTATGGGGGCACTGAGGACCGGGAGGAAAAGGGGATGCCGTGTGCCAGGCCATTGCAGCCATGGGGGACTCCGCTCTTGCCACCGTGCTGCTGCCTCAAAATCAAGGAGAAGAGGGGGAAATGCAGCAAGATTTGGGGGGGGGCTGCTAGCCAATGAGTTACAGGTAGTCTCTGGTTTAAGACGGAGTTCTGTTCCCAGGGTCTGTCCTTAAGTCGAATTTGTGCATAAGCCAGAACAGTATGATTGTATAATACTGCATAAGTAGTATTGTGTAATGAACTCGAACCCTTGTGCGTCTCACTCAGATCTGGCTACAGTAGGCTCCGTTCTGAACTCTGGGTCGTCTGTAAACCGGGCGTTCTTAACCAGGGGACTATTTCAAATCAAGCAGTTGCAAGGCAGGGGCTTTCTCTCCGAGACCCCCCGCTTTCAGCCCAGGATGGAAGCTTCACGACCCTACGTAGGCAAGCCGCGTGTTCCTCCCACCTGAGGAGGACCAGGACCCACCTCTCTAAGGTGACGGCACGGATCAGGAGCCCAGGATACGTGCAGGCCCGTCTGGACGCGTTGCCAGAGAGCAGAGCGGCTCTCGGTGGCCAGTGGCTCTGGCCTCCGGCCGTGGCTGCGGGCGGCCTCCTGCCTGCTCCTCCCCCGGAATCCCCCCAAGCCGAAAAGTCGTGTAAAAGCAGCCTTTCTTGTCCGAACGGGGAGACTGCGCATGTGTGCCTCTGCATGGGAACACTGATCAGCCATAGAGCTCAGACGTTTCAGAAGGTTTTTCTAGTGCACGAGATCAAAGGAGCACGGTGTCAGCAGTGGAGAAGAACCCATCAAGTTGAATAATGAACCTGGCTGCAATGCTATTTTTAAAAAAAACAAACATCAGTGTCACTTTTTAAAAATTCCTGAGTGCTTAGTCCCTCTAGAGGAAAATAGAGGCCCGCCTGGTGCTGGGGAGCACGGCGCTTCCCTCTTCCCTTACGAGTTCTTCTGAGGAATCTTTATGGTCACCGTCTTCACTTCCGAGTATTCTCGCAGCCCGCATTCTCCCCTGGCCGCAAAAGAAAGACGGAAGAGTCACTGCTGGGCTGGGCTGCCCCCCCAGCCCTTGGACCCTGTGCCACAGACAGGGCTGGCCGGTCCCTTCGTGGCAGAAGGAGGGCTGTTGGGAGACCACTCAAGGTGGGACGCAGGGAATGTGGGCAGCTCGGGCTCGGGGACTGGCTGTGGCCAGATTCTCCGGAGGACGGAGAGATGAGCCAGACCACGCTGTGTGTCCAGCTGTGTGGTTCCCGGTTCTTGGTGTGGGTGGGGGGGAACTTTGGCCTTTCCCCCTCAAAACCAAGGCCTGACTCAAACATGGCTGTTGAAACCGCTTCCATTTTTGAAGAATTTTGTGGGGAGGAATTTCAACCTCTGAGGAAAAAGGGGAGTCCTGGTGGGTTCACCCCCAAAGTATTTTGTGACTGTCCAGGAGAGGGGAGCAAACCAGGACAGAGGCAGAAGCTGTTCTCCCACCCCCAAATTCCTCTCTGTTGGGAGGCTGCGGCCAGGCCTGCTCCGGGACCCCCCTTCCTCCCCAAGTTCTCCCCAGCAAGAACATCGTTGCTTACATTTCTCTTCCGTTGCCAGACATCTTGAAACCCCCAAAAGGACTCTGGGCATTTAAGGCATTGTAACAATTTATCCTGGACAAAAACAGAAAGAGGGAGAATGAGGGGAGCCCCCACGTTGCCCACTCCCCGGAACTGCTGCCAAGCTCTGCTCCGTCCCTCACCAGACAGTTCCCGCCTGCATGGCGGAGGAGACCGTCAGCGCCTTGTTGATGTCGCTGGTAAAGACGGCAGCGACCAGCCCGAAGTCGGAATTGTTGGCTCTCTCGATCACTTCTTCCATGGTTTTGAACCGCAAGATTTCTTGAACAGGGCCAAAGATCTGCAAGAGATGGAGGCAGGGCAAAGCCTGTGAGGTTGGAATGTGCAAGCGTTCTCTGAAAGCAGAGTCAGTCCTTCCTGACAGTAATTCGCATGCTGCCCCCATGTGAGGCTTCAGTAGGGCATGGAAAATGATTGTTCTATAGACACATAATTAAGTTAACTGCGTAAAAGAACTTCATGAAGCTTTAAGCCTGTGGCCACGAAAAACCAACAGACAAACAACGGGGATGGCAGAAAAGGGTGTGCCCCAGAAATACTCCCTTGAGGAAGCTCTCGAGAGCAAACAGGCTCTCAGGGCAGACACGCAAACCCCCAAGAGACACCCAGCTCCAAGGCTAAGACCCACTGGGCGAAACATCCCCAGGCCACAGGAAGGGTGGGAGGAGGAAGCCCCAGAATTAACTCCAGTGGGTCGAAGAGGGACGTGGAAGTTCATATGGATGGAGGGCGATTTACTGTATTAGTGGCCTCTTCCAGGAAGCGATGAAGATGGCTTTTCTAGCTTGGCTGCCCTCAGCCAAGTAGGACCCTAAAGCCTATCAAGTCAGGCTGAGTTGGGGGTCTTGCTGGGCCTGACGGAGAGGCTGAAATATTATCAGGGGACGGGGGGACAACAGAGCCCGTTTGAGCTGGTGTTCTGGTCCGGCCCAGAGGGGAAGGTCAAATGGGGTACCTCTTCCCTGGCAATGCGCATGTCATCGGTCACATTGGAGAACACCGTGGGTTCGATGAAGAATCCCTTGCGGCCCAAACCTTTGCCCCCACATTCCAGTCTGGCTCCTTCGGCCACCCCACTCTGGATCAGCTCCAGGATTTTGTTGTACTGTTTCTTGTCAATCTCAAAAGAGAGAAGGGGGGGAGGAGAGGGGCGTGTCAGGTTCTTTGGCACCCCTGGCCACGGACTCAAAATTGTCTTCATCAGCCCCAGGCATTTTTCCCTTCTGCCCCACAGCGGGGAAGGGGGTCACTTGCCCACAGGCCGCTGCTCCATCCTGCCATTTGCTCAGGGCTCAGGTTGAGCAAATGAGGGTCAGCTCCCGGCACAACCAGCCCCTCCGTCATCTACCAACCTGTGGTCCTTGCTCTGTAGTTGGGTCAAAGGGACTCCCTACAACTCTCCTTTTGGCCCGTTCAACGCTCCTCCGGACAAACTCCTCATAGATGGGCTCCTCCACGTAGATCCGGGAGCCAGCTGTGCAGCACTGGCCTTGATTGAAAAAGACCCCTTGGTGGGCCTGCTCCACCGCGTAGTCCACTGTAAAATCAAGAAAGGCTCGCTGAGGAGCAGATCCCTCGTCTGCGGGCAACTCTTGCATCACACATAATATCCTGCATTGCAGCTTCAAAGGAGGAACAGAAAAATGGCTGGTGCAGTTGGGGTGGGGGGATTTAAAAGATCAAAACATCCAAACACATGCTAGTCACATGGTTTTATGTGAGATCCCTTTAAAATGAGGTAAAGATCAAAATGGTTTCCAGAGTCTGAGCAGAGCTTTGAGAAAAGCCCGTGGCATGCTGCTGGTGGTACCAGTTCTGCCAACAATGGATTAATTAATTTTTGCTTGCACAATCCAGGCTGGGTAAAATCATCAAACCACTGGAAGAAACCCAGGACTTGGCCTGTTGTTCAAATCCCAACCCAGCAGTTGCAGCAATTTGCCTCTTTTGTCTAAATATTGGAGCGCAAGGACTCAAAGTTGGACTCCTGGAGTCCCAAGCAACCAGAGTGACATCTCTTGGCCGGCGCTCAGCTCTTTCAGGCCGCTCCCGGGTGACGCTCCCTGGGAGCTCTTTCCGCAGACCCCGGGGTCCAGAATCTCCTCACGGGGAGGAGCAGGAGGAGGAGACACCAAGGCTGAAGCCCAAATGTGCGGGGGCGTTCTGAGAGCAGCCGTGCACTGAGGAACGCTGGCAAGGCCCGTGGGCAGGACAACTTACAGTCTGCATCTGCAAAGATAATATTGGGGCTCTTCCCCCCGAGTTCCAGAGTCACCCTCTTCAAGTTGCTTCTGCCAGCTGCTTCTTGAATCAGCTTTCCGACCTGAAAGGAAGAAGAAGAAGGAAGCGTTAAGCTTGTCCTACATCAGCACCCAAAGCTCCGGACCAACCAGTGCTCTGGGCAGAGGGTGCCACTTTAATCCCTCAATTAATCCCTAAATTGCATGGATCAGAAGCAGTGGGGAGATTACAGCAGGTCCTATACAGCCCTCAGAGAGTCTCAGCCCATCCGTACAGGCCAGGGTGGAATAGGGAGGGACATTCATACGCTTTCCTTGCCTATGAGAGCAAAATACCCATAGCCCATCCATTTTTTTGCCCAACATCCCAAGTGCAGTTTGAAGGTGATCCATGATCATCTTCACTTCTGCTAACTAGAAATGCTGAACACAAGGAGCAAAAATTACTGCTTGGTCCCAACAAACATCTGTCCAACCCTCCTTTACCCTAAAGGAGCCCGGGGCTTTGCCTGTAGATGCAACACCAGAGGGAGCTACAAAGCCCCACGGTCAACATTCCCCTTTCAGGACCTGCACTTCAAATGCTGGGAAGAGGAAGGAAAAGTTCCCTTTAATGAGGAAGCAAAGCAACAACCACTCCCTCTGTCGCTGGGCATGGAATAAATCAACTCATTCTGGCCATCGCCAACGTCATGGAAATATGGAGTTCAAGAGCTGAATTCAAACCTGATGTGGAAGTGTGCTGCGTGGTTGAAACAGACCAGCAATTCCCTCTGCCTCTCAAGCCCGGACCAAGAGTTGGACCCCTTCGGCTGCCTGGCACCTTCTGGAGGACCTGCAGAGCTACCACTGACTGGTTGCCTCACCTGCAGAGCCAGTCCCTATGTGGGACAACCTCGATTTCATTTTACCTGGGGGCTCCTTTACATTTTTTCTACCACTCAGTCCATGGATTCTGCCTTTTGAAGGGGGGTTGGAAATGTGTTTCCGATCTTGGGAAGAAAACCCTGTCAGAGACTGGCCAACAGCACTTAGATCTGTTGACACCCCTTGCATTATTTTATAGAAGGCCTAATCTGCAAATGAGGCTTTTACAGTCTGTTTGACTCTTGTATAGTGAGGAAGGCTTCCTTGCCTTCAGAAGTACCAAATAACAGCCCAAAAAATTTATGCAATTTCAGTCGGGAGGAAAGGGTGTCAAAACCCTATTTGTTCTCTACCCTCATTCATGCGTATTTTTCTTTGATCCAGTTTGTTTTGAACTGCTTTCTTTGTGATTTGTTAAACATTCTGTTTTAAATTTGCGATGAGCTGCTTTGGAGACCTGGTTTATGGCTGAATGGAAAATTCTTCTGTTAAATCAGAGGAATATAGCCCAAAGAAAGGATTCCCTTGCAGTTATTACAGCATTCCCACAGACGCCTCCCTCGAGCACACCAGGGTTATGCAAGCCTCCAGGAGGGGGCTGTTTGCTGTACAAACACAAGGGCCCCCTCCGACTGACATGGAGACTTGCTCCCTGAACCTGTCAGCTGTTGGCGCACAGCTCTGGGGCCCAGCTGAGCTCGCCCTGCCAGACCAGCTACCACAACCCCACAGGAGGAGGCTTCTGCCCAGTCCAGACACAGGGCCAGGTTGTAGCCCAAGGATGATGGAGAGGACCTCCCATGGCCTCCTGGAAGGGTCGACCAAGACATTTTGGGGCTGACATTGAACAGCCCAAAGAGCTGCTCCCCAGAGGAGGTTCTGTACATGTTGGTGGAACTTGAGCAGGAGACCCTCTAGGCAAGATGGGTTCCTTTAGCCCCAATCAGTCCGCTTCCCTGACGCCATCTGCCAACTCCTAACTGGCTTCTGGGCTTGCTGTGGGTGGGGGCGGCTTCCTAGCAACTCAAGGAGGTCCCGATTCAGGGTTGCCACCAGAACGGAGCTCACCACAACATTTGGGAAGAATGTCCATAAATAATTCCAGGAGCTCTGCAAGGAGACGGTATTTCTCCCGGGGGTCAATCTGCATGTCCCTACCCTGGAGGATGAGATGCCCTGGGAAAGGTGCAGCCCCATTGCTCCTACTGGAGGTGGCCGGCTGGTCCGGCTCTGGCAACAGGACAGGAGGTGCCTGCTGAGAAGGGCAGCTATTATCAGCGGTCAGGCAGCTGTTCGCTCCAAACATTTGCTTGGCGTGAATCAATATTGGCCTCTCCTGTAGTTTGCTTTGATGGTCTTGCCCCATATCTTGTTGACTAATGATGAACTCATGCTTTGTTCAGCTCTTCACGGCATAAAGAAAACACTCACACAAGCTAGGCAGGCATACTGTTTCCCAGGCTTTTGATTGAAGTTGTTGAGGGACCTGGCTAAACATCTTGGACCATCCACCAAAACCATTAAAAAAAAAGAAACACAACTTTACAAAGGAGAATGTGTCCAGCTCGCTGGGGTGTGTCTCTGCTGCACCACCCAAACCCCAGCCATTCATCTCCTTACACAAGCTGCATCTGATTGCCGAGGGAAAGTAAACTTGGATCAAACTTCAATTGTTCTGAGATCAGTCTAGAGTTTCTGTCTAAAGGAGACGGAATGGGGGTGAGGAAATGTAAATCATCTTGTGAGATGGAAACAACAATGTGATGGCTTTGGAACAGAAACCACGGCTAAGTACTGGAGATTTACAAAGCTCTCCAAAAAGGAGCCAACTGCAATGTGGGATTAATACCCCCCCACCCCCCACCCCGCAACGTACAATGAATTATTGCTTGCTGGCTTTCCAGCTTCCCAAAATGACACCCAGAACCTGCCTTCCTGAGTAAATCTCAGTATGTTGCTGGACCTTTTCCACACAAGACTTGCCTGAAGGGATCAGGTCAGGTCAGACTAATCCAGTAATCCAGCATTTGGTTTCCAACAGCCACCAGCCAAGCGGTCCTGAGAAATTCCCAGGCCAAGAATTAAAAGGAGGCCCAACCATGGTTATAGCTACCAAATGTCAGGCACAAGAGACATCCTGCAAGACTTCCTGATTTTTGCTGCCATGGCAAGAATTAATTGCATTTCGGTTTCTTCTTGGTTTGGGAAATGTGAAGTAGAAATATTTCCAGTTGAATTAACTTCTCCTCCATCTCTGCTCATCTATGTCTTGTTCCTGCTGTTCAAGAGATCTAACGGAACACCTTCACGCCTGAAGCGCCATCTCCTTTGCTCAGCAACCCCACAATCTCCCTACTAGCACGAAAACGCTGACATTTTGCCTCCTTGGTAGTGAAACCCCCCCCCCCCATTTTTGACTCAGCAGCGGAAAGGAAGCAGAAGGCGCTCAAGCCCCATGGGACCCCATGGAAACGACTCACAGATGCACAAATGCCTGCCCGCCTCCCCAGCCAACGCAGTCCATGCAGAACAAGGGCTTATTTGGGACAAACCCACTTGGTCCACTGCCCCAGACTGGCCCCCAGCCTTGCAACCTGCAGGGTTCAGCTCTCGCCCCACGACGGCCCTTGACAAAGCGACCCCCAAATGTTCAGCATCCAGCCAAGTCCCAGTTATGGCCCAGAATAAGGCGGGTGAAACGGTGACAGAGCAGCTGAAGGGTTGAGCGACCAAGATCAAACCAGAAGTGTTCAGAGGGAGGGGCTCCAAAGCAAGGGAGGTTTCAGGCACTGACGGAAAGGGAAGAGGAAAGCAGGACCCTCCTGCCCCCGCGCCCCCACCCCAGGCTCTCCAAATGCTGCTTCGCAGGAGACAAAGAAGAGCATCTTCTTTATATGGCGGTAACCACCCATGTGGTGGAGAAGGCTGGAGTTCAAGGGAGGACCATTTTGCTGGTTGCCTGGGGGGTCAAGCACGGCTTTGGGAAAAACAAAAGCAGTGTTTGGGTCCGTTTGCAGCGCTGCCTCTAATGAGCCATGGATGAAAAGCCAGCGAGGGGGGATTGCATGGACAAGTGATCCATGACGAGGGAGTTTGGGTAAGAAGGTCCCTGGCTGCGGAAAGGCTCCTGCGCCACCAGGCTTCCACCTGTGAGAGGTGAGCCATGAACGGGGGGGGCTCGAATGAGGCACATCAAAGGGTCCCGGGGAGAGCAGCCATTATGGTGCCAGGCGGGAGGATGTGGAACAGTCCCTGGGAACCTGGAAATGCTAAAAAGACCAAGCCAAACCCTGTGACCATCAGTGGCTGACCATTGCGGAACACGCTCATTAAAGATGCCAACTTTAACTACTCAATGCTTACGAATTACCAGCCGGGACAGAGATCCTATTTTACACAGACGTGGAATAATAAGTAACAAACCCTCCTGAATTCAGTGGCACCTCCTTCTGGACATGGATGCAGCGGATCAGGGAGCACAACTAAGCTTTTAAGAGTAAATGCTGCCTTGTTTTCTAGCCCTGCTAAGCAGAAATGGATCCTGACAAGATATCTATGAATATGCGACTGTGCATAAAATAATTCTGGGGAAAGTGCTTCCATGGCAAAATGCAGAATAGGTTAATGTTTAACCACTGCGTTAAGAACTCGTTTGGGTATGGATGAGTCAAAGAAAGTAGCGATGCTGGAGGGGGAGGAGGGGGCTGCAGGCGACCTGGAAAACTTGCTTCAGAAAGCTTCCTCTCGCCCATCAACCCTGAGGACCAGCGAGCCTTCTCCAGCATGGATCCAAGCCACAAAACCCGCGTCTTTTGAGACATTACGCTGGTGACTGTACTGGGCCTGAGCAAGAACGTGCTCGGTCCATTAGCTGATCCCCTGCTAAACTGTGGTGACCGCTGGAGCGGAATCACTTGGGTACCCAGGAGCAGATCAAGTGTGTCTGCAATCGCGAGGAATCGTGGTGAAGTAAGAGGGCTTTTCGGGGGCCCAGCACTCCAAGGAACAGCTGATTTTAGAAACCTCTTTGGAAGTGTGATTCTGCTGACTTGCTGCTACAAGAATTCCACAGGACAGGAAATCAAAAACAACATGAAACAGTTTACACTCAAGTTGCATTAAAATATTCCAGCTGCTCCCGCTTTAGGTTCTTCGAGAATGGCTTTTTTTCATCCTGCAATGCTTTTCACTTCCTATTACCAGCTTTTCAAGGCAAATACTGAATTAGGGCAAAATCCAGGGCATTTTAATTTTAAACGCCTATTAAAAACGAAAGCCCTCTGGAATGACAGGGAACATTTATTTTGGCTGCAAGGCAGCTCTGAAACCAAACCCATCTGTGTTTTCTTCCCACAGCAAGTTAGCATCCTGTGCAAGAGTCTGTTCAACCAAAACACAGCCCAGGGGCATTTACCAAATTCACCAGGACACCTGACTTGGCAGGGACAGTCAGCCCCCCCAGACTCTAGGGAGCGCAGGAGAGGGGGGTTGGCCCCTGGGCAGGAAGCACAAAAGAGCATCTCGGCCTGGGTAAGTCATCAAAGCGCGGGGGGGGGGAGGGAGACGGCTGGACCTCAAGACCCACAGAGCAGGAGGGGAAGGGAAGGGATTACCTGCAAGCCCTGAGAAATTATGGGAAGAGGCATTGAAATTATTGGAAAGGTGGCTGAACATTGACCCCAACCCTAACCCAGTTTGCTTAAGGTAACTTCCTGGCATCGCTGATTCCTGAATTCAGTTCCTGAATGCTCGCCAGTCCAAGGGGCATGGCCAAGTGCTCTTCCCCCTTTATAACACACTTACCTCTGTGGACCCCGTGAAGGCAATTTTATCAATCCCCGCATGTGAAGCAATTGCTGCCCCTACGGTGGGTCCAAATCCTGGCAAAATATTGACCACGCCCGGAGGAAACCCCGCCTGGCAAGAGAAGCACAGCGGAGTCAGGGGCAGCAGGGCTGGGCGGGGAGGAGGGGGCCCGGGGCCACGCAGGATGCCTGGGGCTCCTTACCTCCTTGATGAGGGCGCCCAGGTGGAGGGCGGTGAGCGGGGTTTGTTCGGCCGGCTTGAGGACCACAGTGTTGCCGCAGCAAAGGGCAGGCGCAATCTTCCACGCAAACATCAAGAGGGGGAAGTTCCACTGTACAACCAAAATGCTTTTACTGTGAGTAAGTCAGGGCATCATTTTAGTCAAAAAAAAGGGTGGCCGACTCAGTTGACTGAGCCTGCAGTGTCATCTCTGCACACGTATGGAACATGGAAGAAGGGCTCATGCTGCAGGGCCGTGCGCTGATCCGGGAAGCTGTGTGCCGTTTCCCCCTTGACGCTGCCCTGCTGACTGTGCAGCCTAGCTGGGAGGGCAGGGGAGTGAGCAGAGGAGGGGTCCCAGTGAGAGCAAGAGGCGAGGGCAGTGGGGCAGCCCCGTCGGCCCTCAACCACCTCAGCGCTGTGGCCGCCTGGTTCCCCCGAAGACAAACTGAGCAGAGCGGTATGGCCAAATGGCATGCCTCTTTCCCAGGAGCAAGCCCTTTGTGGCCAGCTCCCACGAGATCCACTGTGGTCGCTGGTCAGCCTTAGCCCTGCCCCAAACATGCCCGATGGAGAAGCAGAAGGCAAAGGCGTTAGCCAGTGCTGGTGAAGGGCCCGAAGCCTGGCCCAAATGACCCAGAGGAATGGGAAACGCTTGGCACAAATTCCCTAATCAGGGTCAAGGGTTTCAAAATGGGCACTGCAGCTTGCGATAGGAATGAGCGACGGACCGCCTCCGTCGCGTGACGGATGTGGGAGAGGCCCTTCTGTTCCCAACCATTTCTGGCCCCTAATCAGAATCTGACCCACCCCGTACAATAAGCCTTGGAGACAGCGGGGTGGGGAGCAGACAAGCCAGGGAGGCCAGGACGGGAGGCTGACCCCTTGGGAGCCCCTCTGTCACAGGGCTCTGGGCATCCTGCCCGCCTCCCTTCCGGCCAAAACCACTGGACTCAGGTGCTGCGGTTCTGCTGGGCGCCCAAAGGGGTTTCTCAGGGGACAGGCAAGCTCTCCCCGGCGGGCCCAGGCAGCAGGGAGCCCTGCCCAGGGGAAGGCCCTTCTGCCGGCGCTGCGCAGCAGACCCTCCTGGCCCCCTCGGAAGGCCGGCCACGGTTGCCCCGGGAGCGTCTCAGGAGAGAAGGCAGAGGTTGAAATGCACTGCCTCCCCCGGATGCCACCGCATTCTGGACCATCGGAGTTTGGAAGAAAAGGGTGAAACGCCTCCATGAGTTTGCGTGCCTTTTTCTCCCCTTTCCAGGAAAAGCTTCCATGTCCCCCTCCCTTGGCCCAGAGCCACCCGAGGCTGCCGGGCTGTTTGGCTTCGCTCGCTCCGGCCCTGGGAATTCTGAGGCTTGAGGCCTCCCCGCATCACGCTGCTCTAAAACTCTATTAAGATGTGCAAATAAGCAATCGCGGGGCGACGGCGAAAGATACGCCAGCAGTGGGTTTTCCGTGCCTCTCCCCCAGCCCGGTCCCCCCTAATGAGAAACACACCCGGGCTGAAGCCCCTTCAAGGGAGCCGATTCCAATGAAAATAAATACGAGGTGCGAGGGGAGGTACTCACGGGGATGATCTGTCCACACACGCCAATGGGCTCCTGCCTCGTAAAGGTGAAATAGTCTCCGTCTGGAAGAGAGGGCCTGGTTACTCTCAAGAGCGCCGAGGGCAGCGGCCGGAGGGAGAGGAGCAGCGCTGCGGGCGGCTGGGGGCGCGTGCAGATAAAGGAGGAGGACAGGCGCTACGAGGGGTCTCTGGGGAGCATCCCGCGGGGGAAACCGGGAAGCCAGGCTGCTCCCACCCTCTGGCCCAAACAGCCCCCCGGCTCCCCTGCGCATGTCTTTCAGGGGCTCCCTCCGCTTCTCTGACCAGATTCCACGCCCCCCACCCCAGGGTCCGTCTGCCGGGGACTCCTGCCTTCAAGGATGGACCAGCCAAATCGCCTAGCCTTCTGGCTGGCCCTGTTGAGTTTCCTGGCCGTTCTGCATGAAAAGCACCCCCTTCCTATCCCTGCCTGGGAAGGTCCTTTCGGGTTTGACCCAACGCCCATCCCGCGTCGTTGCTCGAAAGACAGCCAAGCAGGACCTGGGTCAGACAGACCTGGAGGCGCCGGGCATCGCTCGCCTTGCAGGAGGCTGCTGATGATCACGAGATGCCAGGGACAGCCGGCGAGTAACCGCCACTCGAAAGGCTGCCCTACACGGAGTGCAGATGAAAGCCCCCCTGCCCGCCCGCTTGTTTCACTGAACTCCATCAATGAGTTCTGCTTCGCTGAAAGAACTGACAGGTCCTGATCAGGTCCTGGATCTCCCGCCCATTGATCCTGAGCTTTTGGGTGTTGAAGGGGGCAACGCCATCCTTTCCAGAATCCTTTCAGTCCAGATCGTTTTCCAAACAAAGATGCTGTAAACGAGTTAGGCCCGCTGCCCCCCGCTGGATCAGGGCATTCGGGTGTGTAGGCCACCCAGCAGCTGGAGGGCAGTGCATTATGGGGCTGCTCACCTCCTCCTTGGCAGGGAAAGCTTTTCTGCCTCTTAATGGCTTCAGAAGGAAGGACCCTGACCCGACGGCCCTAACGCAGAAAGGGTGCCAGCCCAACACCGTGCAGCCGCCTGCGGAGCTGGGCAGGGTGTGGGGCCCATCCCTGGGTGCATTTCTGGAGCTCCCCAAAGAATGGAAGGGGAGGGGAAGGGGAGGCTGGTGCCATGACTCATGCAGAGCCACAGCAAGGGGCCTCCTCCCCCCCCCCCCCCCTCCCCCCATTTGGGGCCTGCCTGCCATGACTTCACCTTTTACTTCTTGCCGGGCGGGAGAGCTGCTCTCGGCGCTTTGGGGAGTTTCCCCAGAGGGCTTCCGATGAGCACGTCAGGAACCTCCCAGGAGGAGGGAGCCCTCGGGCTCGATGCCAGTTCTGGGGGCAGGGAAAACAAGGGACTCCCCATCGCATCCTGGGGTCCAGCCTTGTTCCAGCCCAACTCGGACTGGCACCAAGCCCTTCTTTGCCTCCCCGAATTTCTCCACTGGTTTGTGCTGAACGGTTTGGGGAGGGGCGTGAAGGGAAGAGAGGACGGCTGTCTCAGACGACCGGCCAGCTGGGATCTGCTTTTGTGAGCAGTGATGTTTTCAAGACGCTCCAAGGAGCCAAATAAAGACCGGCCAGTTATCAGCGAGAGGGGAGGGGAGAAAGGAAGCCGAGAGCAGATAAGGAAAGTTACCACCCCACGGAGCAGGAGGGGCAGCGGGAGAGGGC